TTTAACTCAAATGCCATAACTCAAAGAGTTATCTATCCTATGTATACATTTGCTACATTTACAGATTCTGCATGACTATGTAGTAAATGTTTTCAGAATGTGTGATGTTTGCTACATATGAAGAGGTATTAAGATACATTCTGCAAAGTGAAAACTACAGAACAAAGAGTGAATGTTATGGGAAAAGAAAGAGTGATCCAATGATTTAGAAAAGGCCAAGATCAAAGTCAGAATTCCAGCAGTATTTTTAATTAAAGGTCTGTCAATTACATGTAGAACAACAATGCTCTAAAATCAAAGGTAGGACTAAATACATAGTCGAAGAAAATTAATCTATAGCAGTTTATTTATAAAATATTACCAGCCAAGGTTAGCAATTTTGCTGGAAAAAATAACTGTACGAAACTTAATCCATTTAGCTGTACATGTACAGTATATTGTATCAACACTTTGAATCTTTATATAAATAAAAATGTCAACTTTTAATCTGCAGGATCAACACAAAAGCACAGATCGGAAAAACTATCATATGTTAACATGCAGATTTTTAAATGTAACAACGATGTTCAGGAAATCACAAATATAAAAATACCCAAGTGCACTGTTATATAAAGAAGACAGTGTGTAATTTCATTCTACTTAATGCAATATTGAAAAAAAAACTACAATAAAATTCAACATTTTTAAAAGAATATTTAGATTCACAGTCTAGGTGGTACTATAGCTAAAAGTCTTGTGGCCTCAAAGGTGAATATTACCTAGCCTACAAAACATCTCTAAATACAGTATCTGCTATCAAATACTCACTCTTTGTTACAGAAAGCAAAGCTGGAAGAAACTGAATGGAAAAAGACTGAACAGAACCTATCATATTTCTAGTGCTATTTTATGTATGGCTACTAAACAATATGCAGTACTACTGCAAATGCTGTTTCAATAATGCTGAAAATAATTAGCAGTTTTAAACAAACACTGTAGTATAAACAGAATATCAACACAGAGCCACAGGATGTCCTCTCAGGCCTTATTTGAACATGTTTGAAAGCCAGGAAATGAAGAGAGTAAATTCAAATTTCACATCGAAACAAAGTATGAGCAATTGCTTAAATGTGAGGGCTAACTGGCCAAATATAAGATATTTAGATATACTTCCTAAATGTAAATGTACTTTAAACCAGTCAGTTATAATTTACATAAGTAAAACATTTGCAGTTATCATGAATGAATTACAACAGATCCCCGCCCAGGGCTGTATACAGGATAAAATGTACTCTGATCATTCAAACAGAATATGTGTTCATATTCAACAGATAATCCACAGTATATCAACTTTAAAAAGATTTATCAAGGTTATATTTTATATGTTGAGTATATGTCGGGGATATGACGAATTGTAAAGACCAGAAAGTCTATCCTTATGTTTGGAAATGTTAAGATTACAAGTAACACCCTCATATGCAAATGAAATGATTACAAACTCTTGATACAAATTTTAAGAGTTCACATACACCTACAGTATCAATATAAAGCTAAATACCTTTAATTAATTAAATCCCTTACACCTATAAAGCACTCTTCTGCATATTCCACTTAAACCGCTTTACAGATGAGGACTCTCCTCCCTCCACCACCACCAAGCCCAACCTGGATGATGCGACGACAGCCATAGTGCGCCAGAAAGCTCACCGCACATCAGCTATCAGTGGGGAGGAGAACAGACTGATGAAGCCAATTCATAGATGGGGATTATCAGGAGGCAATGGTTGGTAAAGGCCTATGGGAAATTTGGCCAGGATACTGGAGTAACACCCC